TGTGAAATAAATTTCAGAGGCTGCACAACCTAAAAGTTCTAGGTTTGTGGTGAAATTTTATGTTTCAAAAATGTAAGATGAGGATAATAATGCCTGGCCTACCTAAATTAAAAGATGGTTGTGAGGGTCTGATGGGAAATACTTCCTTCCAGAAAGCATTTTCTTTTTTATTTCCTTTATAATATTTTTAATTTCCTTTACAATATGACTCAGAAATTTCACCTAAGCACAAATTGAGTGCCTTCTAATGTGGCGGGTATGTCCTAAGTGCTTGAAATATGAACAAAACAGACAAAAAACCCTCATTTTCATTGAGCTTACATTCTATTTGGAGAAATTGGGCAACAGTAAATATAAACAATAAATAAGTAAATAATATAGGTAGTAAGTGCTATGGAGAAAAGAAACAGAGCGGTATAAGGGGAATATACATTACCATATTAATGTTTTAGAGAAAGTCATTTTTTCTATAAAAACAAAAAAGATATTCCAAGAGAACATTTATCTACCAATGCAAATGAATGAGACATGTAGTGAGAAAGCTTCCCAAGCAAGGGTTATTGGTATTGTAACCTCACCTATGAGAGAATAAGGCCAATTCTGCCAAAGCAGTGAAAAGCATTATTTTCAGCAGTATTTTTTTTGCCAGTACGTATGTCTAAGATATATATGTAAAAATACCATGTTCATTAGTAGCCATTTTAAAACTATAATGATTCAGAAAATTCAGTAAAAAATAAAATATTAAAAAAAAAAGCAAACTTATCCATCTAGGCTTATTCCTTCTTCCTGTAGATTTTCAGAATAGTCTCCCTTCAGAATGATGCTTCACCATTAATGAGTTGAAATCTTTAATGAGTTAAAATGAGTTATTATATGTAAAAGTACTTGGTATATAGTACCTGCATATGTATGTATAAATATTTTAAGCTTTTTAAAAACTTTTTTTAATAGTCATGACTATATCCCAAACCTGATTGGGGATTACTGATTAAATTATTAATGCATCAGCCAATAAGAAAATAAAGTGCCCATTTTTTGAGAACTAAGATAAGAATTTCTCAAATTAATTGCAGTTACCCTGATTACACTGGTCTTTATAATATAGACATAAGTAATATGTACATACGCTCATATACTTCAGGGTTTATCCTATAGTTTGTAAGTATTTGAGGTTCCTTTATCCTTTGTTTTCTTCCATTTCACTGCTCACTATACAGCCATTTCCATCAGAAAGTGTGAAGTGGAAGGGAAATGAAAGCTGGTAAACATAGTGTATGTCAGTTTGGCTCTTAAAAGTAAGAGAGGGGGGCTTCCCTGGTGGCGCAGTGGTTGGGAGTCCGCCTGCCCATGCAGGGGACACGGGTTCGTGCCCCGGTCCCGGAAGATCCTACATGCCGCGGAGCGGCTGGGCCCGTGAGCCATGGCCGCTGAGCCTGCGCGTCCAGAGCCCGTGCTCCGCAACGGGAGAGGCCACAACAGTGAGAGGCCCGCGTACCGCAAAAAAAAAAAAAAAGTAAGAGAGGAAGTCAAAACAGCTAGATGAGATTAGGTATGAGGTGTTTTCATCTGTGCTATTCCTGGTCCTTGTCGCCATAGTCAGGAATATACTCACATAACTCACTAAAATTTCTGGCTTCAAGAATTTCTGAGATATAAATACGAGTATATTTTATTTGAAAATCAATAACAATTGCTTCTTTTAGAAAGTGCTCCTGCAAGTAGCTAAGGAGAAATATTAGGTGATCATTAGAACTCTGACAGTTATTTCTCTTTGTGAATGAAAATGGAAGAAACATCCTCCCCAAGACAGGACTGGAAGCAACTTTTATGTTCCCATTGCATCTTTTTAACGTTGCTATTTTCATGATTACAGTATTGTATTTAATTATTTACCAGTCAGTCCTCCCCTTGACTGAAAACTTTTTGAAGGAAGAATTGCCTTCATTTTTGTAGCCTTGGGTTCCTAGTACAGTTAGACACTATTCATAAGTGAAAGAATAAATAAAGATCACTGAGATTTATATGAGTTAACCAGGTCTCTCTCTCTCTTAAACACTGTTAGTCCACCTAAAGCAGGTTGGTAAAACATCTTTTATTTGGAACAACCCAGCTCCCTTAATTTCAAGAACTCTGAATAAAAACATATCCATACCCTTTTATATCTCTATTATCTAATGCAATATAAGAGTATGAAACCGTTATATTAACTACTGTGTCTTAGTATAAGCTGCCTTTCCAATAAACTGAAAACTAGAATAAGCTATCTTGCCAGTGCAAACCAATGCAAAGTCATTAGAAATCCCAAACACCATTAAAGAAGTTCCCCATCTTTGCTAAAGTTAGACTAAATAGCTTATACTATGTAATTATAATAATTGAATATTCTGTGTAATGATTATTCAGATACATTCTTGATGAAAAATGATCAAATACAGTGTTCTATTTTTAACTTAGGCCTTCAGAGGATTTATTATTTTGAAATCAAATCTATTAAACCTGGTGAATACATTATTCCTCATTAAGATTCCTTTTGAATTCATTGGACATGTTAAAGACAGTGTATCAATAAATAATTTGCAAGTAAAAATCATTTTATAATATTTATCTTAGAAATTAAAGTGAATAGAAGAATGGAAAAAAGACACAAGTAACTGATAGGAAGGGTAAGACTACATGGGAAACTCTCAAGGTTAATTTTAGCACTTCTGGAACTCTTTTATCTTATCATCTAAATAATCTTACTAGATATTTTATTTTATGAAATACATCAGTTAACAAGTCAACTCACTTCATAAGGCAACTTATTGTGATTAAAAATTATTTTAGGCCTTCTCTGGTGGTGCAGTGGTTGAGAGTCCGCCTGCCGATGCAGGGGACATGGGTTCGTGCCCTGGTCTGGGAAGATCCCACATGCCGTGGAGCGGCTGGGCCCATGAGCCATGGCTGCTGAGCCTGCGTGTCCGGAGCCTGTGCTCCGCAACGGGAGAGGCCACAACAGTGAGAGGCCCCCATACCGCAAAAAAATAAATAAATAAAATTAAATTAAATTAAATTAAAATATATATATATATATATTATTTTTTAAAAAGACAAAACAATTATGTGCCCTTAGTTTAATCAGTATAGAACTGTATATAAATTAAATTAAATTAAATTAAAATATATATATATATATATATTATTTTTTAAAAAGACAAAACAATTATGTGCCCTTAGTTTAATCAGTATAGAACTGTATAAAATGAAGATATATAAACTTGCTCCTGGTGATCCATAAACCATTATAAAATATAAAGCATTATTATTACACTATTGCGTGTGTAAAACATTTTGCCTAAGAATCAACTTTTCATTTATGGCAGCTCTGTGCAAAATTCCTTCTACCACAAAATGATATTAGGACAAAATGGTGGTTTTCAAACAGTTTTGTTTGTTGGTTCCAAGGAGAGTTCCTTTGAAACAAAATTCTCAGATAAATCCATCACTCTAAAAAGAGTTGGAGGAAATATCTACGTTGCTCTTGGACAAGGAAAAGAGAACTGGGTATTTTAAATTTTAGGAGGCAGTAAAGGTAGTATTGGAAGCTATTGTAATCAGTTAAGAAACTAAGAGTACAAAATCATTATCAATGATGGTTGATTATTGTCGAGACATCTGCCCCCAAAAGAAAAACTTTTAACATGCTCTTGTAGTCACCAGTTCTCACAAAACACTAACCAATACTTAGCAAATAGATCATTAAATCTTTTAGACTGATTACCTGGTTTTCATTAGATCCAATCTGATTTTCTTTGGAGGTTCTAGATACATCTATCTGACCTACCTTAGACAGCTATTAAATGAGCTACCACTCAGCCCACAATAGCTTAAAAATTGAAATAGGTTATCCCCATTCCAATTCTAACTATTCCTTTTATATTTTCACTCAGTGAAATCAAGAATTAAAATATATGCTATGATTGCTTAATCTAAGCAACATAATGCCAGAAAACCAAGAGTAATTTGAAAAATTCAATTATTCACAAAATGGACATTCATAGTGTTTATTTATCAAAAAAATTTTATCTGCTACTTTACATCATGTATATACAATATTAAATAATCATTGCAATATGTCACCAAATGTTATTAGCAAAAGTATTTTCATCTGGCCCCTTAATATTATGTATATGCAATAATAAATAATCATTGCAAAAAGTCATGAAATATAAGCTTTTATCTGATTTTAATCAAATTCATATGATAACTTTTTAATGATAGAACACAGCATTTTCTTTTTACTTTTTCTTCTTATAAAATGCTAGGGAGCACAATTACCATTCAAACAATCACACTAATATTTTTTCAAATCTTTTACTGACACATAAACATAGTTTAAATTTACATTTATTTATTTTCCTACCCTAGGTTTCAGCAATATCACAATTTTCTGAAATATACACAAAGCTAATTCTGTTCCATTTTTCTCTAGTTGCAAATATTCACAGGCATACACCTGCTTAAATTTGCACCCATCTTATTTTGAAAAAAATCTAAATACATTTCCATAAAGTGACAGTAAGTGATGTGTGTGAAATAGTTGTGATAGAGGGAATTCAAGCATTTTTAACATAGTAAAGGTTACTTTCTTTATAAAATAATTCCAGAATGTAAAAACATAATTAAAACTGTTTTGAAGGAAACTTTCAAAGAGCAAAATCATATGATGAGATTATTGTAAACTCAATGTTTGAAAGCTAGACTACAGATTTCAAGTATTTCTTTTCATTTTTTCATTTCATTATTGTATGCTACAATACTTAAGTACTGTAAGTACTGTACTATACTGTACTATATAACAGTCAACTAAAATTGCAATCTCATTTTATTAGCTTTTCAGGCATAGAACTTCAGCCCCCACAACATGTACTCAAAAAAAAAGGCCTTTCCTGTAACCATTAGCTGATATAAGTTTTAAAAATTAAAAAAGAAAAAATAGATTGTAATTAAATACTCACCGTTTGGTGTCTTGAAATATTCTGGCAAAATTAAAATGAACGAGATTACCATGGCCAAAAGTAATTTAAGGAGGGCTGTATTTGTCATGTCTCTTCACATGACACATGTGTTCTCATCAAGCACATTGATGGCATGTTTCTTCCTGGTTTAAGTTTCATCTCTGCGGTACTTTGTTTATACAGTTTACCTCATACTCACTTCCTTTTTTATAAAAAGGAGGCCTTGAACTGAGACTTCATTTTTGAGTCACTTTCCACTAAGAAAACTATCTTCTAACAAGCACTTTCAAACTATCTTCTAAACAAGAAAAAATAAAGAAATGATCTCAGAAAGTGAAGGGGTCTTGTTCTCATCTAAATTTGAAGCTATTTTCCTACACTTACCAATCTGTGTGAGTAAATATAAACCCACAATATACTCACCAAAAGTGAAATGATGAATGTCAGTTATGTCCAGTTTGTAAGAACGTCAGTCATTCATTTACTTATTAAGTGATTATTGACCCACTTTTAAGTGCATTGTCCTGGATTCTGGTGTTCAGAAAGTAATATGTCTAGAAGACTGTAAACAGTATAAAATGTAAGGATAAATTAAAAAGACACATATAAAATTTTGGCTCTACTACATTGTATAAAAGCAATAGAATGGTACTTATTATCATTATACCTATAAATACAGTGATTATTGTTACAGAATCCACATTTTCAGTTCCCATTTCAAAAAACGATCTTTCATTACAATAATTCCAGTGAAATAAAATGCATCATCTTAGAATATAAATGAAGGGCAGGTAAAATTCATGGTGAATATAGAATATGTGCAAACAAGTATTTTTATTCCATTGTTCTTGTTTTCTGGTTTAAAAAAAAAATGGTATCAGATATGTCCAGTCTTTTCTCCCTGCTCATTCCCTCTTGTACCCTCACCACCCATCAATTTCCATCTATCCTATTTCTTGTTCTTTACCCACCCAGCCCTGAGCTTTATGGAACAATGGGTGAGCTGGGGGTAGGAAGCAGGGAACAAAGGTCATCCTGTGAATATATAGTGAATATGAATTAACTGTCTTTTCTTCTGATTGGGTGCAACAATTTGTTGGACAAATAGGAATCATGGACCTTAGGACTTAAGTCTAAGAACAGTCAAAATGGGTGTTTGGGGCTTCCCTGGTGGCGCAGTGGTCGACAGTCTGCCTGCCAGTGCGGGGGGTGTCCCGGTCCGGGAGGGTCCCACATGCCGCGGAGCGGCTGGGCCCGTGAGCCATGGCCGCTGAGCCTGCGCGTCCGAAGCCTGTGCTCCGCAACGGGAGAGGCCACAACAGTGAGAGGCCCGCGTACCGCAAAAAAAAAAAAAAAAAAAATGGGTGTTTGACTTCAAATATAGGACTTATTTTATGACCAGCATCAAGGATCATTCAAAGGAAGAAAGAAATTGATGAGAGTTATGGCCTGCATCAGTTACTGGACTGAGATATATTGGATTACAGGTCAGGCAGTGTCTTCAGTAGAGATTCTGGTAAGGATGGATGGGAAACCCTGTTCCTTAATTCTTACAGGTATCACTAAGTGGTCAGTGGACTCTACTCCCCATTTTGACCCTGTTTTGATTCCCTCAGACATTCTAACTCTTATTTATGAATACAAACATTCCAACCATAACTACCAATGGTGATAAAATTGATCAAGAAAGTATTTTCTTGACATAGTACTATTAAGTCAGTTTAATTCCTGGATGAATTTTCTTATAAGAGCAGTTAAACCACTTCTATATTTTTCTCCTTTAATTTTGATTTTACTGAAACTACTTTTTTTTTTTTTTTTTTTTTTTTTTTTTTTGCGGTACGTGGGCCTCTCACTGTTGTGGCCTCTCTCGTTGTGGAGCACAGGCTCCGGACGCACAGGCTCAGCGGCCATGGCTCACGGGCCTAGCTGCTCCACGGCATGTGGGATCTTCCCGGACTGGGGCACGAACCCGTGTCCCCTGCATCGGCAGGCAGACTCTCAACCACTGCGCCACCGGGGAAGCCCTGAAACTACCTTTGTTAGTACCTGTCCTTTTCTGTGAACAACAGCGCTTTGGTTCATTTATTAATTTTTTTGTCCATATTAAATTTTATGGATTTGTGAGTTTTTTTGTTTGTGTAGTAGTATTTCTTATAGATCTGCTTCTTTCCTTGCTACTCCCTTCCCCGCAATATGAACTCAGGCTGCTAAACTTATTCCTGAACACCTAGAAGATAAACTTCCTTAGCGGCATCATGGGTCCTTTGTCAATAATGGGCTGTTCCATGTTCTCTGCAGCTGGCTTCTCTGGTGTTGTACAGATGGTGGTTGTCAGGAGACCAGTCCAGGGTCCCTTAGTCCCAGACCACTGCCTGGCTGCTCTGAGGATGTAGGGGTTCAGTGTCTCATACCTGGCCTATAATCCATTTGCCGGATACCAGTGTATCATCTCTGATTTAACAAATCATGAGAAAATTGTGATATTCCTTCAGATAGTTCAAGAATCTTTTATTGTCCTCGATTGTTCTATTATATTTTAATTTAATTTTCATAAATACTTTTGATCTTTCTGCTTACAGTAACTAATAGCTTAAAGTGTTAGCAGAACAATAGCCAACAAGAAGTTCCAAGTACCCCTTGGGTCAAATCCTCCAAGATTCAATAGCAAGGGTGAAAAGAGCTGAAGTATCTTGCTTCTTCTGACTGCCATAATTCATCCACTAAAATGTTTTATTACTGAGATTGCCACATAAAGTATGTCATTAAATATTTGCATTTTAAACACCACCAATCACTAAAATTTAAGAATTAGGCTGCAGTTTCTTGTAGGTAATCCAACTTAAAATGATAGTGCCTTAGAAATAAATAAATGTAGATGGTGCTAAATCTTGATTTTATTTAACTTTTAATTTTAATTTGAAGGTAGAACTGAAGCAGCAGAAAAGTAAGAAACAAATAAGTAGATAAGCATCTAGTGGTGTGTAAGAAACTTTGTTTAACAGTGTTATTTGTGGCTTTGAAGGCCAGAGGTGTAGTAAGCTCTAAACCTTTAAGTGTGTGACTCTGAGTTACTGTTAGAATTTAATGTGAATATTTACCCTAAGGTACTGTGAGAAGCCCAGGAGACTCCCAGAGCCTGAGAAGTACATAAGGGTAAAGGACACTCCCCTTTAGATGTCCCCCCTTGCATCTGTGCTCTCCTTTCTTTCATATTTCTGTACCATCACCTCTCTGTCAGCCAAACATAAAAACTCTACAGAATAAGTTATTTCTAAAGACTATTTAATGTAAAATAGATAGCTAGTGGGAAGCAGCCGCATAGCACAGGGAGATTAGCTCCATGCTTTGTGACCACTTACAGGGGTGAGATAGGGAGGGTGGGAGGCAGACGCAAGAGGGAGGACATATGGGGATGTATGTATATGTATAGCTGATTCACTTTGTTACACAGCAGAAACTAACACACCATTGTAAAGCAATTATACTCCAATAAAAATTAAAAAAATAAAATAAATAAAATAAAGGCTATTTGATTTTTTAATGGTTCATAGATCAAAATTTATTTAAGCATACTCCATTTGTCACTAAAAATTTTTATATAGCACCACAATGTGAATAGTCACATGCATATATCTTTGTGCAAGTCTGATTATAGAGTAGAATTATGAAGACAAACAGCATAAAGATTTTTGAAGTTCTTAATTCATATAGATAACTGTCTCCCAGCAAAGTTGTGTCAACATATACTCTACCCACAGTGGATGAGGGTGCCCTTGTATCACCAAACTTCAACACTGGCCATTTTATTCTTTTAACCTTTGTCAATTTGAAAGGGAAAAAAACCACAAAACTTGTTTTAATTTATGTTTCTCTGATTGCTAGTAGGTCTGAACATATTCCATATTTACTGGCAATTTGAATTTCTTCTCTTTTGAATTGCCTCTTCATGTCTTTTATGGGAGCACTCATATCCTTGTTGTTGCTCTATAGGCCTCTTTTCTCTATTGGGAATATGTATCTTTTGCCATATATGTTGCAAACATTTTTCCCAGGTTGTCATGTTCCCTTTTGTTTTGTATATGGTGGGGTTTTTCTCCCCCATTTTGTGACAATTTCCAAAGCACCTTCACAAACATCAGATTATAAAAAGAGGATGACTACAAATCTGCAAACCCACTGTGGGCTTCTCTCTACTATCTCAATGAAGGAATAAAACCTTAATAAATCTAAAACACAAGAGACTGTTGATACTGTGCTAGTGTTTAACATTCCTAAGTTTATATTTCTTTTTGAGAGTTGGATTCTGGAAATACTTTAGTGTATCTATAATTCTAATTGAAAAAAGTCTTTATTAAATAATTGTATGTTGTGTGCTAGATACAACTTTTTTAAATGAGAGAATCCTTTATTTCAAGGAGCTGCTCTACCAGGAAAGCAAGAGCAACATAGTTTTAAAAAATAATAGTCTTAAAAATGATGGTTTGGATTTAAAGTCTGTGTAGTTATCTCTTATTATATGAAATATACACTTGTGATACTTTATATGAGCAATATTTTTTCTATTTTTTCTTTGTTGAAACTACCCCCAATCCCTTCACTATATTCTGTGGAAAGATCTTTTGAGGTCAACAAAAACAATAGCAATGATCAATGACATTTATTAAATGTTTACTATGTGCTATTACACATTGTTGACTTAAAACAAGTAGACTGCCAATTATTTCTCCAGGAAAAAAAAAAGTGGGGAGTTGTTATTCAGGATCAGCAAAGAATTGCAATTCAGTGTCTGCAATCATGGCAAGCCACAACAAGCAAGTCCCCAGCAAAAGTGAAGAGGAGTACTCTTTTATAGAAGGGGAAAGGAAATTGGGAGGACTATAGTAAACAAAGAGTCCATGGATTTTCATTGGCTGAGTTGTGACAGTCTCTCATTGGTTGAGCTCTTGCCAGGCAAGAAGAGGAGTCTTTCTTCTTCCTATTAGGCTCTTCTATTGTTGTAGGACATGGGAGCTCCCTGCTCTGGTCTCCCAACTCTACTTAATTGAGGTTTCTGTTGATTAATTTTTTTACAACATTACTGAGTGTTTTACATGGATTATTTTAATCAATCCCCAGCAACTTTC